TGCCAGTGCCCCGACAGCCAGTCTCCCCAAAGCGGAGGTAGGCAAAGAACTGTGGTAATGGGCCGGGCACACAGACGCTGAAGAGACAACGTGGAGATGGGGAGGGGACTCTGCGCAGCGCCAGACCCGCCCGAGGAGCTCCGGGGGCGGCTGCCGCGAGAGGGCAGCACAGCCCCGGCCCCCGGCACCCCCGAGCCGCCACCCCGGCGGGCAGCGCAGGGGCTCGCTCAGCCCCGCCTCACCCCTTCGGGGGGTCCAGCGCAGAGACCACCCGCCACCTTCCCGTGCTCGGCTGGCTGGTGGAGCCCGAATTGGCTGCAGGGGGTATAACTGGCACCTTCGTCAATCTCTACCACCCTGCGGCTGTGTGGGTTTTCTCCTGCCACAAGACCCCAGGGATGTGCTGGCAGGCATTTAAGCAGCCCGTAGCTATACTTGAGACATCCCAGTTATTCCTTCCTATTCTACTCAGCGCTGAGACCTTCTTCCCCAAAGGCTTTAATGCCAGCAGTCCTGGAAGGGATGTCTGCTGAAAGCAGAGCCCTAATAGCAATCAATCTACATCCTCACCTCAGAGCCAGTGAATACCCCTTGCCTCTCCCACCAGAAGCCAGGAGCTAACCAGTGCCAGGACCCATCTCTCTGGTCATGGACTGGGAAGCAGAGATGTGTTTCCATGTGGATTCAAGGCCTGACTCTGCCTTGCATGTTTTCCACCCAGAGAAGCTGTTTCTTCAGCTCTCTGAGCCATTCCCATCACTGCCGTTCAGCAAATGGCAAGACAAAAATAGCTCCTCTCCAGGGGCTGCAACAGGGCTGCTTGATTTGACTGTGCTTTGCTCCACTCTGCTGTGCAAACCCAGGGCTGACTTCGAAGCAGGGGCTGCACAAGCTCCTCCAGCCACCTCAGGTAGGCATTGCTTCCCACTCTGAGCCACACTAAGTAGGTATCACAGGGTAAGCTTTGGTGTCTATGTAGCCACAGCTGTAGCCCCCCACCCTTGAGAGCTGGGAAGGGGACAGGTGTAGGGGGAAAGCACAGAAGCACAAGCAGGTTTCTCCTGAGCACTGCAGACAACCTGCCAGCCAGGTCCTCTGTGGCTTCCCAGCCCCAGGGCTCCCAGCGCAGCAGGAGCTCTGCCAGAAGCTGTTGCACAGGATGGGGAGGGGGAGCACCAGAGCTGTCAGAACCACTCACTGAGAGATATACCGAGACTGTGAGCTCTGTCTCCATGGGTAAAGCAGTGCAGGAGCTGGCTGGCCAGCTGCTGCCAAGGAGACAGTCCTTTTCCCTGCCTATCTTTGCCAGTGCAGACAGACCACGGCACAGCAAGTGAGCTATTAAAGAACAGCTCTAGCCAGCCAGCAAACACATGCTCATTCATCATTCTGGAGCAGGCAGGGGGACGTGCCAACTGCTTTCAGCCAGGACCCATCACAAAGCCTGTGTCCAATAGTCCAGCATCCTGGAAGGGAGCTGGGGTCAGACTAGGGGGCCCTGGACCCTCCAAAATGCCTTTTCTTGTCACGAGGGTGCTGGGAGAGCTGCTCTGCCCCAGGCTGGGAACTTGTGCATTTCTGAGACAGAGCCTCAGCATGGCAACATCATGCCAGAGACAGCTTGGAGAGGATGTGATGGTTGGCGTGGGCTTAGCTAAGGCCTGACCTGCCCCCACATTCCCACCTGAACCAGGCAGGCAGAGCTGCACAGCTCTCTGCAGTGGGACGCTCATGTCAGGTAGAGCAGAGTGGGAGACTGTCAGGCACTTGCAGGGAACCGTGTGGATCCTGCAGATCAGTGGTAGCTCTTTCAGAGCCTTTTCACAGTATCTGCCTGGTTTTACACCTACTTCTCTTCCCTGGTGCTGCTGTCTCCCTATCTGTCTCCATCCCTAGAGCCCAGCCAGCTGGGAGCCAGAGTGCTCCAACCTCTCGTCTAGAATACCCCTGATTCAAGATGGGGATACCCCTTTATACAGCCCAAGTCAGGGGCCTGGACAAGAAACCGTCCCTTTGTTGGTGCTAGCATGTAGCTGAAGTATGTGTTGCTCTGGCTAGAGTGACCCTTAGTGACAGAGTACCTGTGTACACCAGCAGTGTCCCCAAAAAGCCACAGCACCAGCAGCTGAAGATTTGGCTAAGGCCAGAAGTCTGAGAGATTTGAGACCAAGTATGGCTGGAGCCTACTTCTTTCCTCCCTTGCATCCAAAGGCATGTCATTCTTGCTGCCTGAGGTGGGAAACGCAATTCCCTGTGGAAGGGAAATGCTGCCCTCTCCTCCTGCTTTGTGCCTTTCCCTGCCAGCTGACCATTTACAACCAAGAAAGAGGCCAAGCAGAGATGGCCCCAAGGATGTACTTTGTGCTATATCATTGCTTACCAGCCCTGGGGCTTGAGCCTGAAGAGTAAAACTAAAGAGTGGGGAAAAGATCCTCCTCTTTCACATGGAAGTGAAGCTGCCTCCCATGTAAGCTGCAAAGCTGCTTCTTTACCCACATAAGAAAGATCCTGCTGTCCTTGTAGGGCTTGGGTAATTTCGTAGTGCTTGCAGGAAGCCCTTGCCGCTGTCAGCAATGCTGTCTTGGAGAACAACTATGGGCTCACTGACCTTCTCTACCCCAGAGCTGCTGCCACAGCAGGACACAAGCTGCAGGCAAGAAGGGAATAATGCACTGAAGCACTCCTCCTGCTCATAGCTGAGGCCTCAAGCTGCATCACTGAGCAGCTCTGGGCTGGATTTTTAAACAGACTTCAGCCAAATCTCCCCTCCTGGAAGTGGTAGGAGGTGCATACACACACCAAGCTGTGCAGTTCAATAACCACAAGCCCAGCTGGGGGAGGCAGGGAAACTCTCTGGCCTCTGCTGTGAAGCCCATCACTATCAAATATGAGTAGTCTTTCTGCATGAGTTCATGGAAGCCAATTTGGGAGATCTCACACAAGGTGGGGGTGGCTTCATGTGTTTCAGATGAAGCAATCTGAGACCAGTTTCACTTCAGCAGGAGAAAGCAGTATGCAGAAAGGCCTCTGCTTCCTCACCTGCAAAATTCAGCTGTGGGTTTCTCATGAGACCATGTTTGCACACCAGAAAATCCTCAAACATGTAAAGAGAGCAAAGACGAGCTCCTTCCCATCCCCTCCCTAGGGCTCCTCCATCTTCTCAGCTAGGTTGAAACCAGCTATGTATATCTGACAGTGCTGACTTAATCATTGTCAGGAACCTTGTCCTGATTTTCTTTGTCTGTATTTATACCCCTTTACCAAATCCTCCTGGTTACTTAGCCCAGTCTAAGCTGGCCTTGAGCAGATGGTGCTGGCCCAAATCCACTCGGTTCTGGCCACTTCCAAAGCAAACCTCTCCGTCTGAAGGTCTGTGTGCACACGTGCCTGTCCTTTGCAGAACCTACTGCAGGGATGGTGGCTGACCACAGTGCAGAATATGTGGGAATGCGACTTTGCCGCTCTTCCCTGCCAAGGCACAGAGGGCATAGCCTCAGTTCTGCCCCTAGATGTGCAAATCAGCCCCAAGCATCAGGAGGCCAGTGTAGAAGCCTGAAATATGGCTTTGAGTCTGTGCTTTCATTGCAAACACTTCCAGCATCAGCAGTGCAGGAGGAAGCAGGGGGCTGGCTTAGCTCCTCCCGGTTGATAATTCATTACCGCCTGTTAGCCTGGATCCATCCGGCAGAACTACATCCTGGCAACGACATGTGTTCATTTCACACATAAAATGCTGTATCAAAATGCGTCATTTAGACATTCTCCCTGAAACCTTTCCCAGCTGTCTCTCCCAATGCTTTATATGCAGGAGCAGTCCCTGCAATTGGGGCATTTTGTTCCTAATGGATGCCTGGCACCCGTTGTAGAAATCAGGGCTGCAGGATCCGTGATGCAGCTCATGAGAAATACAGGGGGGATCTTCCTGCGAGGAACAGAGAGGCAGCAAGCAGAGGGTGCAGGTTTCATCTATGGAATGCTCATATTCATAGAGGGAGAAACAGCGTCTATGCACGTGCATGTGGCTGGTTTATCACACACCACTTGCAACGAAGCAGAAGTGCAGCATCCCTTCCCTCCTCCCCTGAGGGCCTGGGAGCCCTGACCAGCAGGGCTGAATGGACTTGCCTTGGGAACATGGAGGAGGTCCCTTCCCCTTTCTCCAAGGTCCCTCACTTTGGCCTGATGCTGGTGACTGTCAGCCTGGTGGTAAATCTCCCTTCCACGGCTGAGTGGGAAGAGGCAAGGTGGGTGGGGGACTCCATGCTTGCACAGCAGGTGCTGGGGGTGCTCCCCCAAGGCTGGGTGCCTTCTGACTCCCTGCAGAGCTGTTCCCAGGGTCAAGCTGGTTCTCAGGAGAGATGAGGCTTGCCCACCAAGCCTACACCTTTCATGTTGGCTGCCGAGTCATAGACAGCCTTCCACCCACCCCAAGCCTCTAGCTGCTCTTTGAGCATATGTTCAGTCTTTTTGATCTTCACCCCTTCTTTTCACCTCTGCTCTTTTCTGGCATTTCCAGGGCCTCTTCTTCCCCACTGTGTTCCCCAAGTACCATTGGAGCAGAGAACTCTGTTGGTCTGGGAAGGTTCATCTTTTCCCTTGTAAGAATATAGAACAGGACTTCGCAAGAACAGCCGAGTTCACGAGCCCTCCCTAGACCCCTCCTGTGCCCACTGCCCTCTGGGCTTCCCCAGGAGCCTCCGCACGTCCCCCACGCAAAGGGCTGGGGGGCTGCGACAGCATCGCAGATCCCAACCCACCCCCCTGCCCTGGCGGGAGCACTGGGCGAGCCCCCGATCGGTGAAGGTCACGCCGGGGCGGCGGCCGCCGGGCAAAGCCGCGCCGTGCTCTGCCCCCGCCACCGCCCACCGGCGAGGGGGCGGGCACACCGTGGCCTCGTGCGGCGGCGATTGGCTGTCGGCGGGGAGGCGGGGAGCGGCGGGGCCGCGTCTGGCTGCAGCGGCGGGCGCGGAGCCCAGAGCGGGCGCGGCGGAGCATCTTCGGGTACCGCGGCCCCAGCGTGGGCCGCCTCCCCCGCAGGCCCCGGCCTCCTATGGGCGGTGCCGGCGCCCCGGCCCCTGCACGCCCGTCTCGCTCGGCGTTAGCATGGGCACGGTGCTCTCCCTCTCCCCCGCCGCCTCCTCAGGCAAGGGCGGCGGCGGCGGGGGGCTGCTGGCCGACAAGGCGCCGGGAAGGGTGCCGGGCAAGGGCGAGAGCCGGCTGAAGCGCCCCGGCGTGCTCATCTCGGCGCTCACCTGGAAGAGGCTGGTGGCCGCCTCGGCCAAGAAGAAGAAGAGCACCAAGAAGGTGACACCGAAGCCCGGCGGCGGGGCCCCGGGGGGGCCCCCGGGCCAGCCTGACCCGCTGGTGGTGCAGCGAAACCGCGAGAACTTGCGCAAGTCGGTGGTGGGGCCGTCCGACGGCGCCAAGCAGGGCCCGCTAGCCGTGCCGGTACCCACCGTGCCCTCGGCGCCGCAGGAGTTGCACCCGGGTTCCGGCGGGGGAAAGCCGCCGCCACCACCGCCGCCGGTCGGCGGCCGCCCCCCAGGATCCCCGCGCCGCGTGGTGGTGCAGGCATCCACCGGCGAGCTGCTGCGCTGCTTGGGGGACTTCGTGTGCCGCCGCTGCTACCGCCTGAAGGAGCTGAGCCCCGGCGAGCTCATCTCCTGGTTCCGCAGCGTGGACCGCTCGCTGCTGCTGCAGGGCTGGCAGGACCAGGGCTTCATCACCCCGGCCAACCTGGTGTTCGTCTACCTGCTGTGCCGGGAAGCGCTGCGAGGCGAAGACATCGGGAGCCAGGCCGAGCTGCAGGCCGCCTTCCTCACCTGCCTCTATCTTGCCTACTCCTACATGGGCAACGAGATCTCCTACCCGCTCAAGCCCTTTCTGGTGGAGGGCGACAAGGGGCGCTTCTGGGAGCGCTGCCTGGGCATCATCCAGCGCCTCAGCGCCAAGATGCTGCGAATCAACGCGGACCCGCACTACTTCACGCAACTCTTCCAGGACCTCAAGAGCGAGGGCGAGGGCGGAGACGGGTCCAAGCACTGGACGATCAGCCTGGACCGTTAGGGAGGTACCAGGCCCCCGGGGCCGGAAGGGGCCGCGCACCGAGGGGCGGGGGAGGCGAAGGACTGTCGGATTCCCCATCCTCCCCCCGCATCCTCCTCGCCTTCCCCCCTCCCCGGCCGCCAGCTCCACAGAGACGCTACTTGGACCCTCCCTGCTCCGGATCCTGCCGCCCCCCTCCCGCGCTTCCGACCCCAGATGGGGGCTGCGCTCTGGAACACCGAGGCGGCGGCGAAGACCGAGGAGGGGGAGCGGTGTCTCTCCCGCCTGCGCGATGGAGGGGGGAAGGCTGCGGAGGAGCGGAGGCTCCTTGGATGCGTTTTCTCTAGAAAAAAAAAGGGGTGAAAAAATGGATGTGAGGGTCTGGGGCAGGAGTGGTCGAGGGGCCCTGGGGGGTGCGGCGGGTGCCTCTGGCAGAGGGTGCATGTGAACGAGCTCCCCGGCGCGGGCAGAGCCGCCCTGCCGTGCTCCCGGTGCTGTCCGTGGTGCTGGAGCTGCCGCGCCTGAGCAGACAAAGGCGGGAGGGCAGGGTTACGGGCAAGGCTGGGGGGTGGGTTCTGTGTCGTGAGCGATGCCTTCCCCCCCCCCCCCCCCCCCACGTGGGGGGATATGGGCCCCCCTGAGCATGGGCGACGGTGCCCCTCACCCCGCGGGAGCCGCTCGCATGCCTCTTTGTTCGAGCCGCTGGGGGTGGTGCCCACGCCCCTCTCCGCGGGTAATTCCTCCCCCCGCCCCCCGGTGCGCCTCCCCAAACAAGGGGTTATGCCTCCCCCAACCTTGGCTTGCTGCGAGTAAAGGGGTCTGTGCCAGAGGAGGCCTAGGGAGCCCAGACGGAGGGGGTCTGCTATGGGAGGGGTGGGGTCCCCTCTCCTCTTGCTTTGCTTCACTGGAGAATAAAGAGGTGGCCTGGATGGGCCTGGTGATGGCTCCTGGACTTGCTGGGCTGTGGGGTGCAAGTGGGATTGGGGGGGCACCCCAAGCTCCTAGTCATGCCCCCTCTCCTCCCCAAGAGGGATGGGAGGGACCTGATTCTCAAAGCAGGTTTTACTACCCAGTGTGAGTTGGGGGTCAGAATTTCACCCCTGTTTGTTGTGCCCAAGGCCAGTTCTGGTCCACCTGAGTGTCTCTTGGTTCCTTATGAGCTCTCCTGGCCTTCTCCATTCCAGATGGAAATGCCTGATGCCTGTCTGCTGCTCTGAATTTAAATAGGATGCCACATTTCATGTCACCTCCATATTTTTTTTTTTTAGTTTTATTTTTCCTAAAGCTACCCCTACCTCCCCCTTCCTCCCTGTCTCTGCAGGGCTGGGCTCCCTTCCCTGGCAGCAGCAGGCTGTGGGAGCTGTGCTGCTAGCCCTGTTACCAGCTCTGTGCTTTTGCAGACCCCCAGGGAGAGGGGTGGAGAAGGGGAAGGCTTTGCTTTTCTCATAGCTGGTTGCTATGCTTCAGGCTACTGAATTTGCTGGGGCTTCTTTAGCAGGATCTGCACCACATATTCTCCGAGGTCTGCATCCAGTGCTTCCAAGCCCCTTTGAGCCAGGCATTCAGGCTCCCCTTAGCTGGGAAGAGCTGTGCTGGCTCTGCAGGTCATGGAGGGTAAGCTGGATTCTCTCTACCTTTGTGTGCATCAGCAGAGCTGCTAATTAGGCCCAATCTGGCTCATTCAGGCAAAGCTGTGCTGCCAGGAAGACAGCACAGATGTCAGCATGGAGGCTGACCTGGCAGGGTGCTGTGCAAGGCTTTTCCATGGCTGTGTAAACCCACCAAGACCAGCGCTTCCCCCCTTCTGCCTCTCCTAATGGGTGCTGTTGTTCCTGACTGTAGATTGACATTCATGTGACCTTGTGGTGAGCTGTCTGGGCCACAATGCGCTCAACCCACCCCAAATTTGACTATATCCGCATCTTGTCTTGAGGAAGGTAGCTCTGGCTTAAAGAGGTGGAATTGGACCCTTAGAGCTCCTATGGGGCTGCTGGGAGAGCCCTGACTATCCTCTATCAGCATTTTGCAGAGAGGAAAACTGAGGCACAGTGAGGTGAATGCAGGAAGGTCTTCTGCATCACAGGGTAACACCTTAGCCTGTGGTGCTGGTAGTCTCTACCCTGAGTTGTGGGTGTTTGTTCAGTGACTCCCCTACCCCTAGGTGTGGGGCTTTATAGAGTCTTGTCTCTAGAGCTGAACAACCTGCTAGCACTGGTGAGGGTTTCCCACCCTGCAGATCTCCTTAGCGACACTTACAAGATATTTCAGCTTCAAGCCCCAGCCGTTTAAAATGTTTCCAGCTGCAGCGAGGCCGTGTCCTTCCCCTCCTCCCTTGTGTTTCATTGATTAAGAGTGCTAGGCCTCATTGGGGGATTTAGGAAGAGCTAATTGCAGGCTGGTAATTGAAGACAGCTTGGAGTCTCTGGAAATGTCAAGGAATGAGAGACGAACTTAGATGCTCCCCTGCATTTAAATATGCATCATTGGCTCAGCCAGAGCCTTACTGAGGAGAGGGAGATGTGTCTGGATCTTGTACAGCTCCTGGGGGGACCAAGGCAGGTGGAGCACTCACCTTTCCTTGCCTGGGAGCCTTCTGCTCCCACCAGGGCAAAGAGGAGGTGGGGAGGGAACACAAGCAAGGATGAGTAGTGAGGGTGGGAATCCTCAGACAGGCTTGGGAGCTTAGCATTTTCCCCTCTTAAAAATTGTGTGTTTAACCTGCCAGACCCCTGTGCTCCTGCATGATGGATGATCTGGACTCAGGAGCCAGCTATTGGGCAGCAGTAAGGGGGATGGATAGAGCTTGTCCCCAGCCTTGTGATCCCTTCAGCCACCAGTGCTCCCTGAGGAGCATTAAGGGACTAGGAAGCCCCTGTGCTGCCAGCTGCAGAGCCCATCAGTGTCTGGGATTGCAGGGATGGGAGATTCCCATTGGGTTGGGACTCAGAGGTAGAGCAGCAGGGCCAAGTCAGTGATCAATCACCACAGAAATCCAGGTGAGGGATCCCAGTACTTTCCTAGTTTGAAATCCCTCCAGCAGCAACACATCTCCTCTCTGTGCCTCACAGTGGACACCCCATCTGCTCCAACATATGTTGCAGCAGGGTAGGTGGGCACAAGCTGCATGGTGCAGCCTGCAGTGGGTTCAGAACCTTCTGCCCCAAGAAGGTCTCTTCTCAGGCCATAGCATCCTCATGTTGCTTCCCAAGAGTGTATGGGGCTGCTAGGGGCACCTTGGTAGCCAGTGGTCCCAAGGTTGCATAGTCATCCATGAAAAGGGGAGTTTTTACCTGGAGCTGTGGAACAACTGCTCTGTGGGACTCCCCTTGCCCTACTGCTCTGTCTGGGGAGCAAACTCTATGGGTTGGATGAGCTGGCCATGGCACTGAGGCATGGAGGAGTGATGAACAGCTGGAGCAGCCAATGTGGCAAGCCATGCTTCTTCCTGTCAAAAGAACAGCAGTGAAGCTGTGTTTTTGCTATTAAGAGTTGGCATCATCGCCTGGAGTGACTTGGAGGTGCTCCATGGGGAGGAAACTGTTCTGTATGGTGCAGACCTGGCACCTGCATGGCTGGTGAAGGACCTGCCTTGGCCCAGCTTTCTACTCAGGCCTTTCTTCATTTTCCTGTGGGGATGATGGAGAACATGTTTCTCGAGGCAGATGGAAGTGGGAGGTCTCTCTTCTGCCTCTGTGGGAGGTACTTGGACACTGGATCCATTGCAGCTTTGGGCTGTTGCTCTCTGGGCTGAATTGGGGATGACTTGTGGGTATAGGTTTCTGGTCCCCTCCCTGCTCCATGGCACTTCATCACAGCTGCTGGTGGGGTGTCTGTGGGGGAATACATGGACAAAGTGACCCCGGGACATGGCAGCAAATGACAGAGGGAGAATGAAGAGTCCCAGGCGAAATTGGCTGATGAGATATTTGTAGTCAGGAAGGGGCAGGAGAGCAGCCAGAAGGTCTCAGCTGATGGGAGATAAATCCAGGCTGGGTGGAAATCTTTCAAAAGCTCTGCCTGTGCCCAGGGTGGCCCAGTGGTAGTCATGAGACTGAAGGAGGTGGGATGACAGACAGTTTGGTCTCCACTGTAGCCAAAGCATGTCTTGTGGCATTGCCTGGCTGATGGGTTTGGGACTGAGGAGCATAGACTGGGGACAGCTCTGTGCTGGGAAGCTGGGGCAGGTGAAGAAGGGGAACCAGATACCTTGGAGCCCTGCTGTGATGGTTAATCCTGCCACAGAGCCTGGAAGAGCAGAGGGCCAGGGCTACATAGTCTGGGGCATTACCTCCAGCTCACTGAGACTTGAGCGTGGAGGTCACCCTGTGCTGTGTTCCCTGCCTGTCTCACGGTCCTTTGTCACCCCCAAGGACTGAACTCCTTGGGGGATAGCAAGGCAGCACCAAGCTGTGGCCCAAGGCAGTCATGGGGAGTCTGCTTCAGGAAGTGAGTGCCCCTAGGCTGGAGTAGGGGCTGCTCCCTCATCCGAAGTCCTGCATTAGAGCATAATCTGGCATTAGCACATTAATCCAGTCCTCCTGCTACTCAGCTACTGCCCTCAGCAAAGTCCAGCCCAAGGTCTCAGTATACAGCTGGGCAGCAGCAGACCAGGACACTGTCTCCCTGGCAGCCCAGAGAGCTGGTGGCAGTAGGGATGAGGTTTGGGTTTATGGTGGCAGTACAGCCCCAGCCCTTGCATGTTGGCAAGGAAGAAAGCAGCATCTTTGGGAAGCATTACATTTTGTTCCTTGGAGGGACTTTACAAAGGGTTTTGAAGCCTGAATGCTTGTACCTGCAGGCTCTGGCTGAGCCACACTAAGTCGTGAAGCACTTTGCAGGGAGCCACGCCAAGGGAAGGTGGCGTCTGGAGAGAGGATGTGAGTCAGCAGCTTGGGGGTAGGGGGCTGAGGAGCCAGCACAGCCAGGATGTGGAGAGGATGAAATAAGTGGGAACTGGGAGAGCTGCAGGGAGAGCAAAGGTAGGCAGAGAGGCAGCTGATGTCCCCCAGGGAAGACGTGGCATGGCTGTGCTGCAAAGGCAGCATGAGAAATGAAACAAGTGGTGACATGACTCTGCTAAAATAGGAGACAGGGTATTCAATCCTCTCTCTGATCCATTACTGTGTGGCTGGGAGACTTTGGGGAAGTTGGAGGGGTCCCCCTGTTATGCTGGCAAGAGGCTAAAACCTGCCCTCTTGACAGGTAAGCAAAGCCAGATACAAAGAGACTTTTTTTTTTTTTTTTTTAAGTAGGGAAAAAAATCCTTCTGTCTTTAATCACAGGGCAGCAGAAGAAGCTGCTGTGCCGTAGCCTCTGCTCCCTCACTCTTCCTAGTGCAGGCTGAAGCCCTTTGGGACCGTGTTCCCCATCTCACCCTGAACAGGGCACCCAAGGACTCCCTGCAGGTAGGTCAGAAGCCCATGGATGCACTGGGCCCATGCACCTCCTGCCAGCCACCTGAGACAGGCTGCCCACCCAGCTGGTACGTACACTCCACTGCCAGGGATGGTGCTCCCACATCAGCCCCGTGGGCTGGGCACCCCCAGTCGGGGCCAGAGACGATGCTCCACCAGAAGCTGTGCAGGGCTCGGCCCCGCTTGCCCATTGGCAGGATTTTGCTGCAGTCTGCTCCGAGCCGGCAGTTTTGGTGACTGAAGAAAACTGCAGAAAGCAGCACCTCTGGCAGGCTGGGTCAGGTGGGGCTCTGGGGAGGGGGAAGCTGAGTTGGGTGAAAGTGATGCTCTGTTCCCCCTTCCGATAAGCACAATATGTCATTGGGGGGGGGGGGAGGGGCGGCTCCCAGTGGTGCCTGAGGATGGGAGCATCCCGAGTTGCCATGGTGACACCGGCTGCGTCCACAGACAGGCGAGAGCATCGCTGATGCAGTCCCGCATGGGTGTCCTCCCCCTTCCTTCCTGGCTGCCGTCCCTGGGGAGTGCAGGGCTGGTTCCCAGCTTTTGGTGTGGCACCTTGGGGACAGAGCAGTGGGACTGTGCCAAGTGAGCTCAGATCAGAGCAAAGCAAGCCCTCAGCTGCAGGCTGTTGCACTGGGTGTGTGCAGTGCTCTCCCCTCTCCCAAAAAGGTAACTCCCCCTTTTCCCCAGCATGTCTCGCCTCCAATCCAGCAGGGACCCGGATTGCAGGGTCGGGAATGAGGAGGGGACTGGAGTCACCTGGGCTTCCCCGGTGCAGGCACTGGCAGAGGGACACGAGGGGTGGGGACAGGGAGGGGGAGAAGGGAGGAGCTACTAGTGACCCACATCCCTTAATCCGTGTCCTGCCCTGCGTCATGCAGTTACCTAAGCCCTGAAGCGGCTCCCCCGGCGGGGGCACAGCCCTCTGCCCCGTCTCTGAAGGAGCCAGTTGTGGCCAGTTCCCCCATTTTGCCCTTGCAAAGCCAAGCTTGGGGGCAAGGGGTGTCTTCAGCCTGTCTTCACACTAGTTGCTTGGGGGTAACTACTCTTTTCCCCCTCACTTCACCTCCTGCCGTCCTTGGGAACCAGGCTGTGCAACACTCGGGGACCCTGGAGGTAGGGGCGGCCCCTCTCTCTCCAGTCCCTGCAACTCCTTTCCCGTACATGGGCTCCCAGCTGGCAGCATCGGGCCCCCCCACTTCACAGCCTGAGCCCTCCCCAGAGGACACACTGACATCAGATCCCACTCCGTTAAGCTGATTAGGGCAATGAGGATGCATCGAAGCAGATGCCACCAAGGCTGTGAGAGTTACCAGACTCTGGAGGGATGCAGAGGGGGCAGCATGAAGCACCCAGATCTGTGGGCTACTGTGATCTCGGGCATGCAGAGAGAGGGGCTGGGTGCTGGCCACTCCCTCCATGGGCTGGGTATGGCTCCCCCCTATACAGCCAGTTTGATCCCTGCTGTGAGCCTGGCACCCATCCCTGGCACCCTGGGTCCTCGATGGCAGTGGGATCGGGAGCAAAGCCTCAAGGAAGGGGACAAACAGAGGGCAGTCCCTGGGCCCACAGCAGCCACTGTGGGTAGTCAATGCATCATGTCACACATGAGCCTGACCTGGCACAGGATGTGGCTGTGCTGAGCCCAGTGCATTGCCCCAGACTGGTTGCACAGGACTGTGAATCACAAGAGATCCAGCTCCTGGCATCCCTAATTTGCCTGGATAACGGCAGGATGGCAAACATCCTGCCGGGCCAACTGCATCTCCTCTTTGCCTCCAGTTGCCACATCTCCTTGCCAGCCTAAAATCAGCTTATGTGGGCTCCCTGGAGGGGTGCCTCAAGTAAGCCAGAGGTTTCCAGCTCTGCCCTGTCTCTTGGGGTTTATAAGAATCAGATGTGATGCCTGGAGGAAAGGTGACACAGCAGAGTGGTGGCATCCTCCACACCCCAGCCCTGAAGGTGCTCTGGCTCAGATGGGAAAGGATTTGCTGAGTGGTTCCCCCACTTGCCAGCTCCCTTCAGACAGGAGAGGACACAGGTCACAGCACCTCTCTGTTTTATTGAAGACCAAACCCACCCCCCAGCCAGCGCAGAGCTCAGTGTGCCCAGCTCTTCTGAGTCTGCTGAGCCAATGTCCTGCTCCGGAGGATGGGGGCAGCTCCTTGAACCCAGGGGGAGACCCAGGGCTGCTCCTTGGTTCCTGGGGCTCCCAGTCCTGCTGTTATCCCTTCTCCTGCCCTACCTCCCACCCTGCCTTGTCCCTGGGGATGTTCCCATCTATGGAAGGTGTCCCACCAAGCCCTGCATGTGAGGGGCTAAAGCCAGAGTAAAACTGGAACAATAATCTTGGAAGTGATGAGCAGGACACAAGCTCATGTGCAGGATGTCAGGACCATCTGTGGTGTGATACTCAAGCGCTGGGGAGAGAGCAGAGTTGCAGGGACCAGGCTGTGTTGCCTCCAGGCTCTGGTCTTGCCCTGAAGACTGGCAGTGCGTGCCTGTCACACCTGCCCCTGGCACCTCCAACCCCAGAGCCCTTCCCCAGGTAGGAATCAACCCATGAAGAAAATCTGCTCTTCAGACCAAGGCTTCTCCTGAGGTGTGAAGGAAGCTACCATCAGCAGGAGGTGCAGGAGGGATGGAAGAAAGGAAGACTTTGGAGACATAGGTGAGTGGACCAAGTGGTCAAGGAAGGTCCCCTTTCCTTGCCCCTGCTCAGTGGGACCCTCATCCATGGATGCAGCTGCCCCAAGGCCCCAGCTCCTGACTCCTGTCTGCAGGTAGAGGGGTGGGGCAGGCACGGGCTGGGGGTAGAGCTAAGGATATTCAGGGAGTGGGCAGCATGTTGCAAAGGAAAGGGGGTGCACAGTCCCTGCCAGGAGTGGAGCTGATAGTTATTCCTTCCATTCACACCCTGCTTTAGGTATCCACATCTGTTCCCAGGATCATGGATACCTCCTCATCTTAAATTTAGATGGCTTCTCTCCTCCAGCCACCCCTATCAGGGAACTAACCCAGCTACCCTGCAAGCACCTCCCACCCTCCCCACCATTCCAAATTTAAAAGGGGGCAAGTGAGAGCATGGCACGATCCCACCCCCCATCCCTCCCCACTGAGTTCCCAACTCCACAGCCCCATGCTGCCAGGGACAAGGAGTGTCCACCTGGCACAGCTGAGCCTCTAATGGTAATGGTTGTTCATATTGTTGAGGTGGGAGGCTGCCATGGCGCTGAATGGAGCTGAGGGCTGGAGCCCGTGCCCGGGGTAGAGGGATGGGCTGGAACCAGGCCAGTAGGAAAAGCTGGCTGGTGTCACCCCAGAGGTCATGAGGTTGAGTTTGGAGATGCCCGAGAAGGGCAGCGGTGCCAGGTTGCCCTGAAATTTGTAGAGGGTGTGATCGGGGGTGGCCGGCTGGCACACCTGCGCCAGCCCATGGAAGTCGAACTTGTAGGCATAGCGCTTGCCATGGACCTTGGTCATGATGTTCTTGTCGTAGTAGTAGCGCAGTGCCCGGCTCAACTTGTCGTAATTCATGTTGGGTTTGCTCTTCCGCTCGCCCCAGCGCCGTGCCACCTCGTCGGGGTCGATCAGCTTGAATTCCCCATTCGTGCCTTCCCAGGCGATGCAGTTCAGGTTGGCCCGGTCCGAAAGCAGCTCCAGCAGGAACTGCCACAGCTGGATCTGTCCGCTGCCTGCAAGGCCGAGCCCCGGAGAGGTTAAAGCTCCCTCCCAGGGCACAAGGTTAGGGACAGGATGTGCCCCAATTCTCCTTGACCCACTGCTATATTGCCCCCTCCCTTGTGGACCCAGGTTTAGGCTGCACTTCATTGCATCTTCCCTGCTCTAGAGATGCAGAAGATGGTAACAAGGTTATGTCTCCTTTGCAGCATCCCTACTCCATCCTGCCCCTCAGGTAAGAGGAGGAAAAGATGCCCTTTCACCTTGTGATGGGGTAGGAGTGCTCAGAGGTCAAAATAGGTTGCAGTGGGTCTGGATCCAGGGTCTCCACATCCCTCTCACCCACATTCACCCACCACTGAAGACAAATACCTGTTTGTTTGTTTTGGTGAGAGGACATGGCCTTTTTCTTTCATCTGCAGCCCCAAGGAGATATCTTGGAAGTACTCAGACTTAACCCAGCACAAATATTCCCCACTGCCACATCTGCTTGAAACTGGGCTGGTGTCACAGCACAGCCTCTGCTCTAGAGGCACTGTACCCTGTGCTGATGTCTCCATGGTGAGCTGAAGTCAGAGTGCAACACTGATCTGAACTACGCCCCAGAGAGGCACGGATAAGTATAGGAGAGGGAGAGAGGAGGACAGGGCAGGACCTGCTGTGGCTTTGAATCGGGCATCAATGTTCCTTATTTCCAAAGGAAAAGTGTCCTCTCTGAGCCATGGCCATTGCATCTGCAGCTTGCCCTGAGGAGTATCCTTGGTGGGTGCCCAAGGTGCCCCTGTGCCAGGCTGCACACACTGGAGCCTGGCACACCTGGACGTGCCCATGGTGAGGCACAAGGACAGGCTTCATTGTGCCTGGCCAGAAGTCACAAGAGGAGAGAGTCCCTGGACCTTTGGACGAGGAGCAGTCCTGCCACTGAGATCCAGCCACTCTGCAGAGCAGCCCTGCACTTATCTAAATACCTTGCCCTACCCTATCTGAGCAGCAGCCCTTGCACATCCCTGCTCCTCGTCCCAACCCTTGCAGCACAGTCTCTTCCCACAGAAGGGGGCACGTCTTTGAATTTAATCCTTCTCCCTGTGCTTTTCTACCGTTATTGTGTCTATAAGTGCTTGGATCACATTCAGAGGTTTAGCACCTATGACCCCTGCAGCAAACAGTCCCATAGCTCAGCTAAATTTCCCACAAAGAACCACCTTATCCTACTTATCTAACACCCACATATTTTATCTGGTGCTCCCCATTTCTTGCCCTGGAAGGAGCAGGGAACAGCTGTTTCCCATCCATCCCCATCTCACCAAACCCAGGTTAGACATCCTGATCCAGGCAGATACACCCCAGTCTTTCCAAGATGTTGTGTTTCCTAATCCCCCATCCTGGGAAGAAGGTGGGGGTCTCTCCTCCCTGGGAGAGATCCCTGCAGCCTTTGCCTCTCATTGCCACAGCCTCCACCCTGGGCTCCAGCTATCTCCCAGTTGTGGCTGTTCCACCCCATGCAAGGAGGGCAGGGAGGTGTTGGAGGGTGCAGTCGGGTGGAGTGATGAGGCTCAACCCTGACTGCTGCAGGGTGCCATGATAATACACCTGGCAGCTCCCCGAGGAAATATCCAGGGATCCAAAAAGGTCCTTCTCACTGCATCACTGTGCACCGAGTATGGCTAGGCAGAGTCCCCAGTGCAGAGGCAAAAGAGTCTCCCAGTCCCAGCTTTCCTACCCCTCCCATCACTAAACCAGGGCTCCCCTTTTCCTGCTCAGAGCAGCCCCTTGTCAACTGTCTCCTTGCAGACAGGCAAGCTACATGGCCCAAACACCACAGTGCTGGCCCCGCGATGCCCAGTGCTGCTGCACTCCCCAGGAGGCTGCAGGCTGCCCCCTCGCCAGCACTTGCCCATGCCTGTGACCCCTGCGTGGATTTCTCAAGACGGGGACCCATGAATTCCCAGACCTGCCCGAGCCCCAGTCCTTCACCGGCAGCTTCCTCACGGATGGTGTCTCAACTCACCTCCCCACTCCCAGGAACGGGTCCCCCGAGCCCGGATTAGCTCGCCCCACTCCCGGGCTGGCTGGCAGCTCTCTCCCCGTCTGATGTCCCGAGCAACTGGGGGACCGGAGCTGGGACCCCGAACTCTCCCCGCTGCGGGGCTCGGGGGGCCGGGTTCCCCGCTCCCCTCTGCTGCCACGAGACGGGGGCTCCCGGCCGTCGGGGCTCGGTGGTTTCCCCGTAGGATTTGGCGGCGGAATGCTCCCAGCCCGCAGCAGCAGGGAACGGGGGCTCCGCGGCGGCCGTGTCCCGTATGGGCAGTGCCCGGTACACGAACGGGAAGGGGTCCCCGGTAGCTGCGGGTCGGGGAAGAATGCATGTGCCCCGGGGGTCCCCGCTCCGGGCCATCTGAGGGGAGCGGAGCAGGTCCGGGGGAAGGGGCAGCGGTGCTCTTACCTTTCTGCACGCCGGGGCTGAGAGACCCCCATGCCTGGCTCTTCCCGTCTTTGAACAAAGTTTCCCCTACTGGATCTGGGGGAAAAAAAGGGACGCGGGTGGGGGTGGCGGGGGGCTGGAGCCAGGCGGGACTGCGACCCCCCGGCGCCCACCCGCGGGCGATGTCCTCGCAGCCCCCGTCCGCTCCCCCTCGCTTGCCCCGCCGCTGCGGCGAAGCCAGGAAACGCGTCCAGGAAAAAGGAAATCCGATTTCCGACCCAGCCGGGGAAGCTTTTAAATAGGAATAGAAAATCCCGTGGGCTGGGGTAGGGAGGAGAGAAGGAGTGAGGGAGAGAACTGCGGGACAAGGGAACAGGGAGAGGAGACAGGTGAGCGGCAGGATGGGCGGCAGGATCGGCAGGTGGAAGGAAGGATGACTGGTGGCTTTTGGGGAGCGGACTGCTGTGAAAAGAAGAGATAGATGGAGAGATGGATGGAAGGAAGGAAGGAAATGGGTGGATGGATGGAAGGACTGAAGGGAGGTTGGATGAGTGGGTAGATGGAGGGAAGAAAGGGCGAGAGGTGAATGGATGGAAGGAAGGGTAGGTAATTGGTAAGATGAGGGCAAAACAGGCTGATGGAAGGGACGGAGGGTAGACAGAGGGATTGGCTGGTAGCGGGGATGGAAAAGGGGATAGAGGGATAAGTGGGTGGGGTGGAAGGATGGATGGAAGCACAGGGCAAGGATGGGTGGGTGGAAAGATGAGTTGGAAGGAGAGAAGGGTGGATGGAGGGATGGAAGGACAGGGGGACGGTGGGTGGATGAAGGATGGGAGGATAAGTGTGCAGGCATGGAAGGCTGTGAGGGTAGATAGAAGGGATGGTTGTGGTGCTCGAAGGCAGGAAGAGAGAATGGACAGAGAGAGGAGAGAACAGGGTGGGCTCTGGAAGGAGACAGGGCAGAGAAGCGTCCCGGGGCCTCAGCGGGACAGGGCGGGCAGGGGCTGGGTGCTGTGCGGTGCACGGCGCAGCGGTGGGGCAGCGGCCGAGGGATCCACCCGTACCTGGCAGATACATGTTGAGCAGCAGTGGCACCGCTCCGGTGCCGTGTCTCATGGCAGCTGTGGGGGCGGCCCGAGGGCTGCATGTTTTAATATTCCTGCCCCTATTATTATTATTATTATTCCACTTTATCAGGGAGCAGCTGATGGCGAATAAATGGCAGCGGGACGGGCAGGGGACGGGCAGGGGCCGGGGGAGGCGGAGGAGGGGGAGTTTCCAGGCAACTCGCAGGGGCTCGGGGCCCCGGCTCCAGCAATTTCCTCCACTGTAATTAAAGCGGGCGCTGCCCCCCCCCTCCCCCCGCTATCGGGCCCGCATCAGACTTTAATCACGGCCGCGGGTTTCTATGGAGAGAGGCTCGGGCCGCTTCCTGCCTCTTCCGCCTCCTTAACTCTTCGCAAACACGGCGCTGCCATCCCAGCTAGGAGCGGGCTCGGACACTGCCTGGAGACTGCCCGGGCCCGGCCTCCCACCAGCGTCCTGCTCGCTTCCTGACCCGCCGACCGGACAGCATCCTCTTGGCCCTCTGCATCTCACAGCACGGCATCGGCATCGGCGTTGGTGTCGTCCCACCAGCATCTGGCTCTCTGACCCACCTGTGCTGCCAGCCATGAGGATCTGTGCCTGCCCCTTTCCCAGCTTCAGCATCATCAGCGCAGTCTTGGGGTCTCCTTGCAGTTCCCAGAGCCCTGGGGTGGGGCCATCTGGGTCCCCACCAGGTCTGTCCAGCTGTGGGACACTGGTGATGGGATTCCTTTGTGGTGCCCAAAGTTTCAGGGTGGGTAAGTGCATTGTCAGCAGTTGGTGGCACCAGGTTGTACCACAGGTTTGCCACCTTCCTGGCTCCTCTGTGCCCTTCTGGACAGTCCCTGACTCAGGGACAGTTAAGCCTGTGACCAACCCTGTCCCAATCTGTTGCTCACCTTTATTAGGATCTGTAGAAGTTGGGTGACACTCAACACCCCCCAAACCAGGATGGCCCTATCTTCATCTGCTTGTCCTGGGCAGCCCTGGGTATTTTCTGAAGACAGGAAGGTAATTTGTGGAGCAACGTGCAATGGAGAAAGATGATCCCAGCTCCCAAAAGACACATCTGTCCATGTTTTCCCCCATCATACATGGCTTCAGCTACTATATGCAGTTTTGGGGTGCTCTCAGAGGCTCTGTCCCCCTGGTCAAGAGTAGACCCTCCACCAGGACCCCACAGCTTGACGCAGCCAGGCAACGTGTCAGCAGCTTGCACCAGCTCTGCTCCACGAGTCCGGTGCTGTACAGCCAAGACTGCAACCTCTCCTGTGGTGTTTCATTGATGTCTAGTAACAGGACAAGCTCTTATGCAGGACTTAGATGAATTTCTTGAAAGTGATCATTGCAAGATATGAACCTAATGGAAACCAGAATATGGCCGTGCCAGACCCACGGTTATTATTAATACTGTAGCCAAAATGTGTCCTGCATAAAAAGGTGAGCGGTGCTCAGCTGGGCTGCCACAGCCCAACAAGGCCGATAGCGGGGGGGGGGGGGCAGCACCCAGCGTCCTCCGGGGGGGACATCCAATACGTTTAGGAAACAGGGGATCCCATGGGTGCTGAGCAGGGCTCCAGGTGCTCCACCTCTTCTGCCCATTAGGGACAAAGAGCAGATACTGGCAGGGGGAGACATGAGCAGACACGATGGTACTCCCCCCACAATTCCCCACAAATCCTGTTTAGATGTAACAGCCCTTTAAAAGTTTCTCTTCTCCCAGCTTGTCCTCTGAGCTCCCCCCGAACCTCACAGTGGGGTGTCCCAGCTCTGTAAAGCCCAGCAGCTCTGGCTGCTCCCCCCATCCCTCTCCTCCCCAGCCCTCCAAGTGCAACTCTCCCAGCAGCGGCTCTGCAGCCTCCCAGACTTGCTTTCGCTGCCTGAGTCACTGGAACGAACCGCAGGCAACGGAAAACAAGCCCCGGAGACAGCAGGGTGAGGTGGGGAGGGTGCCAGACCCGCCGAGCCGTTGTCTCCCGGCAGCCCGGGTGAATGGGATCCTCCTCCAGCAAACCTGGATGGTGGAGGGCATGGACGGGGGGTCTGGGCTGAAGGACACCGCATCAAGCTAGAGTGGGGGGAGGGTGGAAGGGTCAGGGATCAGGCTGAGAAGCAGGGTTAGGGTAGTGGGAGCTGGAGTTGGGGGTGCTTTAGAGGGCACTGGGGGTGTGGGTTCCTGGGTCCCTGGGAAAGCCAGTGAGTGGGGAAGCTTAAAGAGGGTGGTGAGGGGACTGGGGGCTTTTGGTGACCTAGGGGCAGAGGGGTGCAAAGGGGCAGGGAGTGTGAGATCCCAGGGGCTGGAGATCTCTGTGTCCATGTGGAGCTTTTGAGGACCTGAGTGATGTGACCTCAGGTTCATGGGGGAGCTGGGGCAGACCCAGAGGATGGGGGAGGGAGGGTATATGAGAAATCCAGAGAACAGGGTCCCATGTCCATGAATGAACAAGGAATTGGGCATCAGGTCTGTGGGGGATCTGGAAGATGAGGGTTCAGGTCTGTGGGGCTCCTGGGGACAGAGCCTGGACACGTGGAGTGCCTAGCTTGCAGCAGCTGCAGGCCCCTCTGGCTGCAAGCAGGCAGCCTGCCCCCCCTCCCCCCCCAGCACTCCCCCCACCCCAGATGGAGCAATAAGGACCCCAGACTTTGCAATGACCCCCACAGCCTGCCCCTACCCCCACCCACTGCAGGTGCCCGGGAGAGCTTCACCTGTGAGCCGGCGTTGTGAAGTGGAGCCAAGCTGACGTGGCTCTGTGCTGGCTGCACCTGGCCAGGTGTGCCGGAATGTGTTTGTGCAGGGGGAGAGGCCATGGGGCAGTGGCGGGGTGGGGCTAGCAGGGACATGGAGGGGACAGGGTAGGGCTGGGGGGTGCCCTGCAGCTGGGACGCCACACAGAATGGGGACACACAGGTGCTGGGGCTTCTGCATGGCCACACTGGGGTGCAACAGGAAAGAGGACGTGCAGGGACACGCTTGTGTGCACACTCATGTGTGCAGTTCACACACACATGTACATATGCTGACACACATGCCAGGACTGGGGTCTCTGCACAGGCCTGGTTGTGGGGTGTGCACACATCCACCCCCAGCCCAGTTCAGCCCAGTCTTCCAGCACCCTTCTGGAACACCCCTTGCCCCAGGTCAGGCATGCTTTTAGCAGAGTGGGCACTGGAGAACCTAGGCATTTGAGCCACCCACCAATGTTCCACCATCCTCCCATGTCCTTGGTGTGGAGAGCACCTCGGGACCAGAGGCTTGTGCCTCAGGAGGGCTTCAGGGTGCTGGAGCATGATGGAAGAGGAGAAGGAAGAGGAAGGAATGTCCTGCATGAAGGGAGAACCTGGGAACAGGGGGCCTGCACCCTAGGAGGGTTTGGGGTGATGGAGTTGGAGGAAGAGGAGGTTGGGAAAGGGTGCTGGAGGAGGAGGAGGAGGAGGCTGGGTGGGGCTCCCGATGTCCCGGAGCCGAGCCGGATATTGGCACGGATGTGCTGGCGTGGCAATGCTGGGGGAGGACACACACACCTGGATCCTAAGCGTTCTGGGAGCATCTGGGAGCATCGAGCTAAGTCCCCTACCAGCTGCAGAACACTGCCCTGAGAACCTCCTTCCCCTGACCCCTGCACCACCCACCTCCCTCCCCCAGCCCCTCTCTGACTGTGTCCCCAACCCTGACAAAACTGTGGTTACCCCATTTGTGTAAATGTTCTCTCCCATCCCCCCTCCCTTCCCCAGATGACTCCTATGCTCTTCCTCCTTCCCAGGCCCACTGCAGGCAGGAATCTCCTTCTCTCTTCCAGAGAGAAGCAGGAGGTGGTGATGCAGAGAGAGGGGACTATGAGTTCGCAGACTTTGTAGCAATCACCTTCCCTAGCACTGATCCTGGGAGGACAACTGAGGGCATGACACCCCTGGATGCTTCTTACCAGGCCACAACCCTCCTGGATGCCCTCTCCCAGCTGCAGCCCTTTCTTTGCCAAGCAAGTTAACGTTTTCCCAGCCGGAGCATCACAGCGTTGGAACTGTCCTGCATCCCCTCTACTCTTTGTGTGTGGATCAGAGGTGGGGTGCAGAGAGCTAAGCCCAGGGTAGAGGTGGCCACAGGCCCAAAACCGCCTGGAGAAGGGGAAAACCCACCTTCCACCCCTCAGAGGGTCTTCCCAGTGTGGCAGCCCCTGAGAAGCAGAGCAGAGGCAGAAACACCCGTTTTTTTGACAAATGCCTTTATTTGCTACCGGATAGAGGTCTATTGCACAGCAGCCTGGAGGCTGCAGGGCATTCAGCCCTGCCCCTGTTCAGTGCTGGACGCGGCGGATGGATTGGATCTGGTTGGTGTGGGCCTGGCTGCTGTATTCATTGTACTTCTTGAACTCGCCGTTCTGTCTGTCCCGCTCCAGCACGTACTGGTAGCCCCTGTATCCTGGGTACTGGTATGCCACCCACCTGAAGGCAGACCCTGGCTCAGAGCCTCAGGCCAGATCCTCCCCTTGCCTCCCCTCCCCTTTTTTTCTCTTTCCTTCCCCTACCCTCCCATCCCAATCCCAATCCCAGTCCCATCCCATCCCCACCCCATTCCATCCTCTGCTTGCCCTGGGAGGAGAGAGGCAGAAAACACCTCATAGCTTGGACTTTCAAGGAAAAGGTAGCAGGAAGGCATTTGGGGTCCCCCTTCCCCATCTTGGGGTTATGAAGGAGGGAGGTGCTTGCTGAACCCCTGCTCTCAGCCCCCCCGGCCCCCCACCCTGCTGGCAGGACTCACGCTCCGGAGTTCACTTTGATGGATGCCACCTCCTTGTTGCCCCAGCCCATGGCTTGCAGTGAGGGGTAGTCGTCGCTCAGCTCAAACTTGTGCCCCTGGAAGTTCTCAGCCTCGTAGAGGATGGCTTTGCTGTCATTGTGGTTCTGCAGAGGGTGATAGCTGAGGGTCAGCAGGGATGGGTTGGCTTTCACAGGGATAGGGGATGTGGCTTCAGGGTGACATGCCCCAAGGCACTGCGAAAGGCCTGGGACCATGCCCAGCTTTGGTGCAAGGCACAGGGATGCCCTTCAGCCTGTCACCCCCTCACTGGAACACCCCAGGGCTGCCCAGAAGATGCTGCTCTCATGTTCCTGTGGTCCCAATGCAC